GTTTGAATAGAACGCAGATATGTGTCCTCAAGGGGCCCTTAGACAACATGCATATGTTCTGACTGTGGCCCCAGCAAGCCTCGTGCCCGCCCTAAGTGAAGGCGGGCCTGAGTATTCACAGGAGGCCCTTATCTCAGCATTTTCCAATGCGGGTCTCAGACAGTTGCTGCATGACAGTTGGTTGAAGTGCAACCTGAGCCTTACCCTGGGCTCTTCCAGAAGAAGGAACTGCGCCAGGCGGTTGAGCCCAAGGGCCCGGGTGGTGGTGCCCTGCCACATGCATTGAGAGGCCAACACATCACAAAGTGGCCACGGGCCAGCAAGAAAGGAGCATTGTCGTTGTATCTACCCCGCGGGCCAGAGCAAATGCAGCAAATAATCAGAGCCTGGAAAGTTCTGGGTGTGCCCAACTAAAAAGGGCCCAGGCCCGTAACTGTCAAAGTTGGCTTGGGCGCAGACACTGGGGCCCGACTGGAAGCTACTGGAAACTTCCACGGCAATGAGCACACCATCCAAGGGCAGCAACCTCTCCCATATAGGGAGGAGGCTGGCCAGAGCTGGGCATTCTGGCCTAGGCGGGCATTGCCGACATGCTGCTGCGCTAGCAAGCAAGTGTCTGCATGCGTTAGCATTGGCTGGGGCGGGCACTGCAGGGCAGCGGGGCGCTAGCGGCCATAGCCAGGCTGCAGGGCCCGAGGCAGAGGAGGGTGACATGGGTATTCGGGAGGAGGCGCAGAAGTGGGTGGTCAGGGGGTGATGAGGGAGACGAGAGTACGTACCTGGTGTGGGAGGTCGGCATTGGTGTTGGGAGGTCGACATTGGTGTTGACGACAAGTACATTGGTCTTCATAGTCAAAGTGAGCCTGTTGCATGAACGTAGGTAGGATAGATAGGACAGGCAGAGTAGGCTGGGCGCTGGGCGCCAGACAGAGAGAGCGACATTGAATACTGTGTTGGTGTGGCCTGAGGGTTTGAACATTGGCTCACGAGTTCATTGTATTGCTCTTATTTGGATGGAATCTTGGTGCATTTTAGCTTTCTGGTTGTTATTCTGCGTGATTTTGCAACTTGGTTTTCTGTATATCACTTTCGCTCATATTCCCTGGAATTTGGTATCGGAGCTGGTTCGAGATTGCCTATCTGCCGCCGGCGACATTGTTACTTGGTGTGTTGACGATGCTTCTGTGCAGTGAGGATACATTGGCCCTGGTTTGACAACGTGACACCCGGGTAGAGGGGTGCGTCGCAGGAAGGCTGTGGTGACAGCGTGGGAGCTGTGGCGACAACAGATGTATTATGATGATGAGAGCATGCTGATGTGGCATTTTGGCTGAGGCGGCACTGCATTGCATTATGGGTGGTACCGAAGCTACGACGGGTCATCGAAATGCACATCAGCTCAATTGGTGAGAAATCTGTGGTTCGGGGCAGCTATCTCCAGGTACGTTGTTCCCTTACATTTTCTACCCTCTCAATCTCTTCTTACCGTGAGGAAGTGAGTCCAACCTTGAGTGTCCTCTTTTCGTAGTCGTGAGCGCTCTACCTCAAGAGACAACATTCTTCCCGGTGGCGCATCTGGCAGGAGAGGGCGGTGCCTCTGAAGGGCCCTGGTCGAAGCACGGGTCACGGTCACCATGCCAACCCGTGGGAGTAGCACACGCAGGCCATGCTGCTTTGTCCTTTAAGGCTCTTTGCTGCGCTGATAGAGGGATGTGCGGATTGACCAGTCCTATGCAAATGCTCACCAGACCGTCTTTAAATATTTCTGGCGGAGATCTGAACTGTCCACTGGCTGTGATCGTCGTCCTGCCTGAGGACCTCGGGGGCTGTCCTTAAACTGCCTCTTGATCAGCCAGATCAGTCGGACGTAAGGCTTGTTGCATGCAAGGATAAAGAAAGGGCAGTACTGGTCATAAGCATATTCCTGGGCAGAGGGGTGGGTCGTTAATGCACACCTTAGACACCGCTGCTTGATGATGCAGACAGGCACGTTGGATACAGGGGAGGGAGATTCCAGTTGACGCTCACCTGTTGAACACAAACATACCCATTGTGCATATATCTATTCACATGATTTATTTTTGTTTTTGGTTAATTGTTGACAGACTGCTAACACCTAACAGACAGACTAGATTAGTACTGTAGTGTTCTACCATAGCCAGTTCTGATCGAAGATGCTGTGAGTGAAACTAATCAAGTTAGAAGTAGATCATGTGTACAGTTTGCGTGAATGCTGTTGATACCGCTTGAACAGTAGCCTAGGTGACTTACCAAATATCATTTTATTTTTATTTAATTTTCAACTCGGTCAGACACATGTTGCGGTAGGCTCCAATGAGGGCAGTAGTGCAGACAGTGCCTGCCTAGGTGATGAGTGGATCAGGCAGTGGTGAGGATAGATCTGTAGGAAGAAGAGTGACACGGCAAGAGTCTCTTAGGATCTCGATTGTGCACCAAGCTTTACTCCCGAAGGGAGAGAGGGGCTTGCGACAGGAAGCAGCAGCTGAATGCTTGCAGAGAGGTAGAAAAGCGGCAACATCAGCCGAGCAAGTGCTAGCAGCGGCAATAGCCACTGCAACAGCTATGGCTACTTCTGTTGCTACTTCAGCCGCTACATCTAGTCAAATGAGCGTAGGCATGCCGCAGAGTTCGCATACCACATCCAGTACAGTGGTGATAAGTAGTTCTTCCAGTCAGATGGCGGGCTCGCAGCAGCTCGCCACCTCCACGCACGAGAGAAGCCATTGAACTCCAACAAGTGGAGTTGATCCGCTTACGGCTAGAGAAGGAACTTAGAGAAGCTACTGAAAGGGAAACAAAAATTCAAACTAGGAAAGCTAGACTAGAGAATAGGGAGGCAGTCAAAGCGGCAGTAGAAGGGTTAGATGACGCTATCATTGATGCCAACACGCGAATTCTCAAGGCAGGTCTCCTGTCCATGCATGCATATATGGACAGCAAACTGGATGCTATCCAGGACACCCTTGACCAGATACTGAGCACCATGAAGGACATGGGAAAAGCTTTCCCATCACCAACAGGTGGGCCCAGTTTCCGGCCTCCAGTTTCCCATCGCCGGTTTCCTTGTCGGTGATGACTAGTCTTACTATGTCTCAGTTTAGCAGTTCACCAAGCGGTACGTCAGCAGCAGCAACACAGACTGTTGCTTCTTCATCTTTTGAATCAGCGGCTGGTGCTATACAACAGTTGGTCCCACCAGTGGGACAGCAGCAGCCTTGGTACTCCAAGACCCCACTGAAGCCAGCCTCAACCTTCTCAGGTGATAAGAAGGATGAGGCTCTTGACACTTGGTTGAGAACGGTTCCAGTATCGGTCAGGGCAAAGAGGACGCTGGTAGAGGAAGAGGTGATCACTGTCACCTCGTATTTGGAGGGTTCGACGGTGCCATGGCTTGATGGATTAGTAGCCTCGAAAGGGTTCGGCACACGCATGAATGATTGGGCTAAGACCTGTACTCTTGAGAGCTTCATCGAACTGGTAGAAACGCACCCGCAGCAGGCCCAATAGGGCGCTGACGTGTTGACCTGGCTTGATACTAAGAAGTACAAGTCCTTGCGTGAGCTTACCTCTGCCGTGGAGCGGCTCATTGTTGTCCCTGGAGTGCGCTATGATCCGCAGGTCCTCATGACCATGTATCTTAGATGTCTTCCCACAGACGTCAAGAACCTGCTGATCAGTCAGGCTAGCATCAAATATCACACTCTGGACTCCTTTAGCAAGAAGGCCTTAGACTTGTAGGGCTAGGAGGAGCCCAACAAACCCCTACAAACGGAAGAAAGAAGAAGAGTCCACAAGAGTGGAAAAAGAAAGGTAGTCGATTGATGATGGTTGATTCCGAAGGGAATCAAATTGAGATCGATGATTACTCCGACTTAGTGGACAACACAGAGTTAGTGTTGAGGTAGCAACCTTGCCTCACTAAGAAAGGTTAAGGCAGGCGGCCGCGACAAGGGTGGTCAATCAAAGAGTCATGGGCAGACCCAAAACTCAACCAAGGTACCAGCTTGGGTGAGAGCGGGTGTAGAACAAGATGTGTGGTGAGACCTCTATTCGCGGGTTGCTTGCATGAACTGCGGCGAGTATGGCCATCAACAGTTCAGATGCAAGAACGCAAAGGTATCGCAAAAGATACCTCCCAGAGGTGGTTTTGGGAGTTCTTTCTCCCATGGTGGGGCTTCTACGAGCTCCAACTCGGGAAACACATCGGGCCAGTAGAAGTTATAGTTGCTTCTACTCCTGATGAAGTGGCCGAAGTTATTGACTCTTTAGTCACCCCGCTGACGCATCATGACTAGTAATACTTTGTTCATTGGATGTGTCTGAGGCCTTGGAGGATTTGCAAAATGAGTGGTCGACAAGGGACCCTCGCGAGTCTTGGGTGGCACAGTAGAGGTCCTAGAGGAGAGTACTTCGTTGTGGAAGTCGGTGTCGGTGGCCGCAAATGTGGTGCCTTTGTAGACATTGGCTCCACGTGAAACTTCATAAGTCACGACTGTGTTGAGAGACTGTGCGTAGGGGACCGGGTGCAACGCTTAGTTAGATCTGTAGCTTTACCTTAGCCAACAAAGAGCGCATGGTTGTCGATGACTACGTTAAGGACGTGGTCTGCACCTTCTACTGTGGAGGTGGGGAACTGAAATACAAGATTTTGTTCCTAGTTAGCGACAACTTGCCATTTGATATGTTGTTAGGTATGTACTACCTTGAGGTTGCAAAGCCCCAGTTTGACTGGGACCTAAAAGTGCTAAAGCATATACTACCGGAAGGGAGGACAGTCAGGTTAGCGAAGTATAAAGCTAGTAGTTTGATAGACGCTTACGGGTGTATGTGTGCAACAACCTTTTATAATTACTATAAACAGAACCAAGAGGAGGGTATGTACTTAGTTTTTGTCTCTGAGAAAGGGGAGGCCGTTAAAACACCCCCTGAGATAGAAAATGTCGTTGCAAAATACCCTGATTTGTTTGAGGAGCCTTCAGGAGTTATGGAACGGGAGGTTGTCCATGCCACAGAGATCGTTCCGGGGAGTAAGATACCCAAAGGAAGGATATATAGGATGGCACCGGCCGAATTAGACGAACTCGGGCGACAACTGAAACAACTCACAGAGAAGGGTTGGATACGGCCTAGTACCTTCCCCTTTGGCTCACCAGTCCTATTTGTCTAGAAGAAGGGGGAAACACTGAAGATGTGCATCGATTATAGAGGCCTCAATGCCATCACAACGTAGAGCCTCTACCGTGCATCGATGACCTTTTGGATAGGGTGCATGGATGTAAGTACTTCACTGAGATAGACTTGAAGTCTGGCTACCATCAAATTGCCATTAGACCAGAGGACCAGCACAAAGCCGCATTTCAGACCAGGTACGGTCTGTACGAGTTTGTGGTGATGCCCTTTGGCCTTTGCAATGCGCCGGGTAAATTCCAGCACGCCATGAATAGGATATTCCATGACTACTTAGATAAGTTTATTGTCGTGTACCTCGACAACATACTTATCTTTAGTAGAACAATCGAGGAGCATGCTCAACATTTAAAGACTGTACTTTCACTCCTACGACAACACAAGTATAAGATTAACTCAGAGAAATGCGAGTTCAATCGCACTAAAATCTTGTATTTGGGTCATGAGATATCAGCGGATGGGATAAGGCCTGAAGATGCCAAGGTGGCTAGCATTTGCGGCTGGCCACGACCTCAGTCTGTGACCGAGGTCAGATCATTCTTAGGGATGACTGGCTACTACCGCATCTTTGTCAAGAACTATAGTACGGTGGCCAGCCCTTTGACTGATCTAACTCGCCTTGACACACCATGGGAATGGACTGGCGAGTGTGTGCTTTCAAGCGATTGAAGCATGCTCTCACACACCATGAGGTTCTCATGGTTCCCGATCCTGAGAGGTCATTTGTTGTGACCACTGACGCAAGCCAATATGGCACTGGCATAGTGCTGCTGCAGCAGGAAGGGGAGAAGTTGAGGCTGGTCGAGTACATGAGCAAAAAAATGTCATCTAAGAAGTTGGCTAAGTCCACCTACGAAAGGGAACTCAACGCCCTCTACAAAGCACTTGTCCACTGGAGACACTACCTGTTGGGAAGGTTCTTCTATTTGAGGACTGACCATCAAACACTCGAGTGGATCGAGACACAAGCTGTTTTCTTTGATGCACTCAAACGCTGGATTGAGGTCATAGATCGGTATATGACTTCGCTAGGGTTGGGCGCGGCGCTACTGGGAGTGTTGCGCCCCGCCCTGGGTTGCGACATCGCACAGGTGGGCCATGGTGAAGGCGCGTGGCGGCGATGGTGGCCATCTCTTCTCTAAACCAGGCGCTTTGCGCACGCACAGGTCATCGAAGGCGCTTGTCCACGCCACGTCACACGCTGATGTGGTGGATGGAATAATTCCCGTTGGCTTTTCTTCTTCTGGAAGTTCCATGTTTCACTTCATTGCCGCTGTGCTTTTGCACGTGGCATATGGCCTGAGAGGCGTTGGCTACGTTGATGCCTGTGGAGTACAGTGGAGTCAGCCCTTGGTAAACTGAAGTGTGAGTGCAGTGGCGACTGCAATCATGAGGAAGTGGGTGTGTCAGCATAATCAGGGCGCTGCTCGTCATCAGCAATAGGGCGCTGATCATCACCAGCACCGTCATCAACAGGGCGCAGTTCGACACCATCATCACAGTAAGGGTTCGTCATCATCATCATCATCATCACCATCATCATCAACAGGGCGTGGTTCGACTTCATCATCATGGTAATGGTTCATCATCATCATCAAGGTGCTGCTCGTCATCACCATCATCATCATCAGGGTACCGCTCGTCATCAACATGAAGGCGTAGGTCGCGTCATTATCGACGCTGCTCTTCATGATGATGAGTGCCGTTGGGCCTGCTTGTTATCATCATCATCATTATCATTACGTCAGTATCATTTACCATCATCAATAATTCACCATCATAGGGTGTTGTTGGCGAAGCTCGTCGTCATAGGGCGCTGCTCACCCTTATCATCATCATTAGGTTATCATCAAAGGCGCTCGTCATTAGCACCATCATCATCCTTTTGTCATCACAGGGCGCTGTGCGTCATTATCATCATCATCACCGACATCATCATCATCATCATCATCATTATCATCATCATCATCATCATCATCATCATCATCAACATCATCATCATCAGTCTGTAATCATAGGGCGTTGTTGGTGCTGCTCTTCAGTATGATCAGCATCGTCATTCTATCTTCATTTTCATCATTACTATCATCATCATCATTTTCATTAGATGCTGCTCTTCAACGCATTGTTTGCCTTTCACATCAGGAGGTGAGTTGGTCGTCACCATCATCCTCCTCCTCATCATCATCTTTAGGGTGTTGTTCATCATCATCAGCAAATCCCAAAAAAAAATATCAACTACCTTTCTCCATAATAATTTCCAGAAATTTCTGATTCTTCCACTCATATCTTAAGAATTTTATTTCCTAAACTCCTCGTTTTTTCTTTTCTCCACTATTAATTTCTAACTCCCCTTTGGCCGCACTAATGGATTATTTTTGTGTGGGTGGGGGGTTGGGGTTTTAAGGAGGAGAGCTCTACTCCGCAGGGGCTTCACAAGGTGGGGGGTGAAATGCCCTGGAGGGAGTGGGGGCTGACTTTTGGGGGATGCCCTATTCCAGGGCTGGAAGAGATGTATGGGCTGGCATCATGTCCTAGCGGAGGCAGATAGGGGTGAGGGGTTGGCTGAGGCATACTTTGGGTGGAACTGGATGCCTTAGTGGAAGTAGGGGGAGGAAGCAGGTATGTCCCAAGTTGGGGCCGATAAGGAGAGCTTGTGATCAGGGCAGTCCTTTCGGTGCAAGCAGCGGAGGGACAGGGGGAGATGGAGGGGAGGGGGAGGAAATAATCCACAGCAACGTCCAAAATTCTGATTCTCCTCTCAAGCGTAAACAAATTACTTCTGGTGGGGTGGTGGGTTGGTTCTGAGGCGGAGAGCTCTACTCTGCAAGGGCTTCACAAGGAGGCAGGTGATTGCCCTGAAAGGAGATGGGGCAGATTTTGGGGGATGCTCTATTCTGGGGCTAGGGGAGATGTATGGGTCGACATCATATCCCGGCGGTGGCAGATAAGGGCAAGGGGTTGGCAAAGGCATACGTTGGGTGGGAACTGGATGCCTTTATGGGAGTAGGGCGGGGGG